TACATCATAAAGATATTTATAACTTTTTGACATTACATATAATTCCTATCTAATATAAGAATTAATAGAATAATTTGTTTGTTCATAATTCAGTTTTTGTCTTATTTTGCATCCTAAACAAATCCTATTAATAAATTAATTAAAAGGAAAATCAACAAATTTAAAGAAAAAAAGAAAAGCTATTCGATTGGAGCACAATTATAAAACCGTACAAATTTGACATCCAATACAAATTAAAATACTAATGAATTATATTTATGGTAATAATATAATAATATAATAATATAATAATATAATAATTATTAAACATTTTCAATCGGTATTAAATTTGCATATTTCCTTCTCAAACATATATTATTACAAAAATAGAATAAACACAATTAAAAATCATTACCTACAAAATATATAATCATTTTTGTATGAGCGTTAACATATTTATAATTGGATAGAGAGAAAAATAATAAACTAAATACTATAATTTCAAACTATATGATGTATTTGGAAATAATTCTTTCTGGTAAACTATAATTTTCATTACTAGCATTACTGATAACACTTATATTTTTGGAAATAATTCTTTCTTCCTAGTAAACTATAATTTTAATTACTATTATTCCTTGTAACATTTATATTTTTAGATAATTTTTTATCTTATTTTTCTATAAATTAATAATATATTTAGTAAAATGAAAATGTGGAAAGGAGATAAAGAAGAAGAGTAACAAACGAGAGAGAGAGTTACATCTATTAAAGAGAAACCAATTTTCAAAACGGCGTAGGAGCCGCCTAGGCAGGCAACCAAACCCAAAAGTGGCTTGTGTTGTCTTTTTTTTTTAAGTTGGATCCCCCACACCCCCTCATTTTATTGTATTGATGTTATAATAATAATTACGAATTAATATTATTTTTTTGGTTTACCAATAAATTAATTACTATCGCATGCAAAAAGTATTTTCGATAAATTAATAATTGCGAATTAATATTATCTTTTGGTTTATCAATAAATTAATAATTATTGTTACATGCAAAAAGCATTTTGGATATATTAATAATACAAATTAATACTATTTTTTTGGTTTACCAATAAATTAATTACTATCACATGCAAAAAGTATTCTCGTTAAATTAATAATTATGAATTAATACTATCTTTTGGTTTTTCAATAAATTAATTACTATCACATGCAAAAAGCATTTTCAATAAATTAATAATTACGAATTAATACTATCTTTTTGTTTACCAATAAATTAATAATTACTATTATATGCAAAAAGCATTTTCGACAAATTAATAAATTTCTTTGGTTTACCAATAAATCAATAGTTACTATTACATGCAAAAATCATTTTCAATAAATTAATAATTACAAATTAATACTATCTTTTTGGTTTACCAATAAATTAATAATTATCGTCACATGCAAAAAGAATTTTTGATAAATTAATAATCAATAATTACCAATAAATTATAAGTACGAATTAATTATCATATTTTCAAGGCGGCGACTAGGCACCAGCCTTTTACACCGCTTGGGAGGGCGCCTAGCAAAAGCCACATAGGACAGGCCGCTAGTCCACGACTAGGCGTTTTTCAAAAAATACCGCCTAACAGGCTGGCTGACCCAATTTTCGATCATAGGGAGAAACTTAATAGCTTTATTAGAAAAGAGGATAATAAATTTAAATAAAGAGAAAGAGAGTAAGAAACGTAACTGGAGAGAGAGAGATCAATTACATTTTTGAAATATATTTTATTTTTAAACGTAAAAAGTTATTACCTATAATGTTGATATTTTTGGATCATTTTTTTATCTTTACTTATATTCACAAATATTTTTTTTCTTATAAATAAATAATATATATGTAGTAAAGGAGAAATCTAGGAGGGAGATAGAGAGGAAGAGTAAATTAAGAGAGAGAGAGAGAGATGCATCTATTAAAGTTAAACTTAATAGCATTATTGGAAAAGAAAAGAATGATATTAAAAGAAGAGAAGAGAGTAAAAAGACAAAAGGAGAGATGATGAGAGAGAATGTGGGGAAATGCAGGAGGAAGAGTAAATTAATAGAGAGTTAGCTCTATTAAAATAAAAGAATTCTAATAACTTTATTGGAAAAGATGATAGCTTTAAATGAAGAGAGAAAAAAGATGTAGATAGTATTAAATGAAGAGAGAGATAAGATGTAGAGAATATGGAAGAGGGAGAGGAACCTTACATACAATGAAGGAAAAGAGAGAGTGTTGTATTTTAATGAAGAGAGACGAAGGATGGGGGTGAACCATGGAAAAAACAAACAACAAATGGTTAAAATGGGTATAACTAAAATATTAAGAGGACATATTTGGAAATTAGAAAGACGGCGCGAGACTGGTCCTCTTGTCGCTTTATAT